CTGCTCTTTTGTTCCCTTGGACTTATTATTTACTTCTGATTTATGGAGATCCGAAGCAGTCGCTTTGCCAAAAGCACATGTATTACTGAGTCTGTTCCATATCCTAAACCAAGATTTATATAAAACCGTGAAATACCACACACTATGACCTTTCACCACAGGAAGAGAAAAAGGCTTCATAACATCATTCATATTCTCTCTCTCTCTCTCTCTCTCTCTCTCTCTCTCTCTTTCTCTCCTAGTTCCAGTAACAATCCTCTGTGGAATCCTCCATACACTGTACAGTGTATTTTTTAAGGAGTGGGTGGGGGTGAAGGATAGTAAACAGTTCCTAAGCTATGATTTATTTTTAAGGATTTTTTTTCTCAAAAGGTGTGAAGACAGAAACTGCCACTGGAAGTTTATTGTCATCCAAGGACTATTTCTGCCACTTGCCATTTGCAAGGTGGAAGAAGAGGGGCAGGGGAAGAGGCAGGATATGGACTCAACTTTCATCTATAAACAGGGGTCACTAAACAGGGGACATTTCATTATTGCCCTTAAATTCACAGGAGCTAGGAAGCCTACTTGCCATCCCACAGGGTGGCCCTGGCTGGGCAGCTCCTGGGTCTGTAAGGTGGTGGGAGGAGGGAGAATCATCACATACTGACCTAGAGACTGGAAAAGATGCTCAGAAATTTCTCTGTGGGAAAAATTGAACTCCTGGGGATAGCAGGGATTTAGATATCCTTGACTAGTTGGTCCCCAACCAGAATTAAACCGAAGAAGTCTCTCACTAGGGCAGGGTTCATCCTCCTCCAATCAATAGTTAAATTCCCCAAAGGACTTGGACTCTGGGACCAGAAGTCTAGCCTCTCCCCAGCCTCTCTCACTCTAATTCTCCCCCTCATGTATCTTTGGTCCTCCATATTTCAAGGAGAGTGACCTTGCTCTTTTAACCATTTTGTGACCTGTAGCAAAAGAAGCAGCTGAAATGGTTTATGAGGGGGGGTGTTAATTAATAAAAGTTAATGATGGGATTAAAACCAATAGCAAGCCAAGCTGACTAGAGATGACAGCTTCCCAGTCAGCTATATTTAATTAGCAGCAATTAATACATTTTCTGCTAATATCCTCTAGGACTCTCCATGACTTTTTCACTGTGAAAATGGAGTGCAGATGGAGAGCAGGAACACTCACAAGCACCCAGGGCGTTTTGCTCTGATGACAAGAGAGATTGCAAATTCATTTTAGAAAATGTTCATAAACAAGTGACAAGCCCACTCTTAGGCACTCTGAGGTGGCTTTGGTGGAAACAATGGTGAAACTGACAAATGTTCTTTGCTTTGGGGGAGGTGCACTTTTTAAAAGTAGGGAAATGCTTTGGGAGAGAGAAGAAAGACAGGAGGTTAAAAAGAAAAAAATATTTCAGACTTCAGGCAGCAGCAGACTCAGCAGCCCTTGCAAAATACATCAGCCCTGCTCTATTGAAGATTTGGACATGTAATGCTTCAGACCACTGATTTGCTATTTTCTTAATTCCCGCTCTTCTTTTTCCATATGAATCAAACAGTCTTTTGTCCTTCAGGGTTTGATTTGATCGCTACTGTTCACATTTCACTTTTGTATTTTCCTCTTCCTATACCATTACTCATTGAGTGCCCCGTGAAATTACAATCGTACATTTTCAACTCAGCAACCCATTTGCAGTGCAAAAATAGGGTCTAAATAATGGCTGAATTAGCCCTACTGGACAGTTTCAGATGTAACACTCTGTAATAATTATATTGCAGGCTGGATTAGGATGCTATTATCATAATCTGGACGTTTACAATTATCTGTAATTTGCAAAGATGCGCCAGGTCTTGATTACAGCAGTTTTTTTTTTTTTTGTATCACGCTAACCATCACTAAACAGTGACAGTAATAACAGCTAATTTTGCTGGCAATATAAGAGGTGCTGGGGTGTGCAAACAATTTCACACCTGGATGTGCTCACTCAACCAAGAATATAGAGAAAGAGCTTCTGCCCTGAGACTCAGAAAAATATTCTCCTGTGCTTCGGTTCAGTATAGATTTCTAGACCCTGATCATTGCTTAAGAGATTCACTGGGGGTAAGTTTTTATTTCTTGCATACTTCAAGGCACCGTTCCTATTTCTCTTCTCACTCTTTCCAAGCCTTATGTGTTGTTGTTGCAATTTCACAGAGTTTAACTTTGCCTTATAGGCTTGCTTTATGCCCTTTAACAGTAAAAGACTTGTTCTGATCAGTAAAAGGATTTAGGCGAGAATATCGTTAAGAAGCTGATTTGTCTTTCTTGCTTTCTGTGGATGTGTTTAGTGAAGCTTGTGACTAGAGACTGTGAAAAGGACTAGGTTTCTATAATGTTCAGCGGGACCCTGAGATTCCAGTCTAAAATCTATTTGATAATTGTTACAACAAATGCTAAGTGAATCCATTGAGGTCTTTATATGTGGCCATGATTTTAGGTTTTGACATGTGGGGAGATCAAACGCGGAAGGGCTCCTTTAGGATCACAGGTATGCGGACATTTGCAAAGGCAGGTGTAGTCTGAATCTCTTGACTTTGCAGCCCCTTCGACATCTTTCCTCCAGTTTTGGGGAAAAGTTTCAGGAACAACTGACCTTTGAAACCCTTCAAGGTTGCTTTTCAGGGCCTTTGCCTCAAACTGCTGTGCATGTGTAAGAGGGTGGGGGTGGGGAAGGATATGCGGATCTTGGAGCTTGTTGCCGGCCAAACGCAAATGCTGAGACCCTGGGGCTGGCGGGGCATGATTGGCAGACTCAGAGCCAAGCTGTGGGGCTAAGGAACCAGTCTGGCTTAGGAATACATCAAGGAAGACTCATCAAGAAGCGGTGCTGTTCTATCTATAGATGACACCGTTTCCTGACCCTGCAGACGTTATAAGCAGCTAGAAATGTTAAATGTAGGAGTGTGAGAAGTCTTTGGCTTTCCCCACCCCAAAAGGCAGAAAAGCCTTTCTCCAGTGGCTGAAACCTTTGAACTAAGTTGTGTCAAAAGATAATGAGATGCTTATTGGTATCCAGGAGAAATTGTCTCCTTCACCCTTTGCCCCTACAGATTGTTGATTGTTTCTCTCTCTCTCTCTCTCTCTCTCTCTCTCTCTCTCTCTCTCTCTCTCTCTCTCTCTCTCTCTCTCTCCTCTCTCCTCTCTCTCTTCTCTCTTCTCTCCTGCCTCCTCCCTCAAAATGAGAAATAAGGTCAGAACTAGGTTTTGGAACTGGAACTCGGCAACCTCCCGCGAAGTTCCAACGTGGGGAGGCGTAGACTGGGCGATGCCTTTTGCTCACGCCCCTCCTACCAATCCCTCTCTCGGGAATCGGTTTGCTATGGGGTCAATACATTCTAAAGAGAAAAAATATTAACCCTTGAGGTTCAGAGGATCCAGAGGAAGTCCAGCTTCAAAGACAGTTCTAGGGGGACTACTTGGTAGAATTTGATTAATTAAACCCATGTTAAGAGAGAAGGAGCTCGATACAGATGCATCAGGACACCACCTCCAATATGTTGACATACATTTGATACATTTGCTGGGTTTCAGAATTCCACACACTAACTGTGGTTTGGCATATATCTGGTGATTTTTTCAGGGAAAAAATAGTGTTGGTTTCAATGTATGGTAGCTTTCCCTCTAACATAATTTGAATAATTCAGCAAAGCCCTACTACCAGCTGTACTTCTGCAGCCTCTTCCATTCTTTTCAGCATTATAATTTTGGTTAATTTTCAATTTTAGGTCCTACGTCTCTGCAATTTGTGTATGAATAACAGAATAATTTCCCTCTTTTGTTTCGCCTTTCCTGTTCCTGAATCTAAATAAAGATGGCTTTTTAGTATTAAAAGTGGAAGAAAATTACAGGTAATTATCTTTGACGGTAAAAACGCTGTAATCAGCGGGCTACATGAAAAATTACTCTAATTATGGCTGCATTTAAGAGAATGGAAAAAAAAACCTTCTTGTGGATAAAAACCTTAAATTGTCCCCAATGTCTGCTTCAAATTGGATGGCACTGCAGCTGGAGGCTTTGTTCAGAATTGATCCTGGGGAGCTACGAACCCAAAGTTTCACAGTAGGAAGGGGAAAAAAAGAAAAGAAAACATTTTTCCTAATGTAACAATGCGAATGCTAGAAAATGACAAGACTGATCGGTTTTAAACCATTCTGAAGACTGACTGAGCGTGGAAGTTGCTCAACAAAAAAAGGAACGGGTATATTGGTAAGTAGTCTTTGCTTTGTGTCTAATTATAGTGACTGTCCTTTTGCACGACTGTATGTCGCTGTCATTATATGGAGCACTCTGAGTATCTCTATTGACTTCTGATAAATGGCTCAGTGGTTTCAAGGTTCATAATTTGAAGGATGCCCAGGTCTGTAGCCATTAATTCTCACAGTATGGGGCTTCCTGCATGTATGACGAAAGGACTTTTCATTTTCATTATTTCTTTGCTTTCCACCAAGATCGGAAGGATGTGTTTCATCCAGGATAGTACATTTTCTATCTAGCTTGCTTGCAATGGATTTTAAACATTCAGTAGGAATAATTGAGCACTTTGTTTTCCTTTTTTAAAAAAATCTTTCTTTTTATGTTTAAGAAAAAAAATTGCTTCCAAAGACAAATACAGCTGTTATTATTTGGCTGGGAAAAGGGAAAGGACCATGTTTAGTTTCAGCACTGAATGTCTAGAGGTTAATGTTGGGATAAGCCATTCTAGTGTTTAAAAAACATAGATAAGTGTGTGGAAATTACAACAAAAACCTAACATGTAAAGGAAGCTGAGAAACATCGGTGTGTTAACATACTGAAGACAAAGCTTAGTAGTGCAAATTGACATCTTTGTAGGCACTTAATGTTTATATATAGGGCTTCCCATATTAGGAAATAGAAATTCTTTTAAGAGTGATAGAAAATATAATGGGAGGGAGAAGGAGGGAGGGGGAATGAGACAGAGACACACAGAGAAATATACAGGACACCCCCAGCATTATGTGGCTTTACTCCATATATGAAAGAAGACAAAAACATACAAAGTATATATACAACTAAAATTCAACAATATATACAGAAATGTTTCTTGATATAAACGTCCCTATTAGCTTAGTGAATGCCAACAGTTCACCCAGAAAAGGTGTCAAAGCAATAGAATGGTGATTTTGGTTCCTTCCTCTGTCTTTCCTGATTCCATTTCAGGGTTTAGGGGGTAGGGTAAGGAAAGAGCTTTTTTTTTTTCTTGTTGTTGTTGTTTGTATTTTAAATGAATCATCATCCCTGGTCATTGCATTTTGATAAATCACGCAGCGTTCCCTTTGTGGCGACATTCTAATTTTACAGCCGATTGTTCCTTTTACTTTAGAGAAGGACTGTTAGGTGAAGGGTTTTTTTCCTTTCTCTTTTTTCTTTTTTGTCAGTCTGGGATTGGTAAATAAAAATGCAGGAGTCCAAAATGCTTCTCTTTCATCATGTAATGTCTGAAGCTCATTAAACAAGTAAAAACGCTGCCATGTTTGTGCAGATTCTTCTGGTGCGGGGGGAAATGTCTGTAAAAAAGTCATTTTGATGGATATTCCTAAAGAGAAGAGGAGGCTCAGAGCCTGAATCCCAAGGGGTAAAGGAAAATATCCTTACAGTGAGGGGTTTCTGGAATGCTGGCAGAGAAAGTCTCTCAGTCTCATGCCAGATCTGTTGCTAAGGTTGCTCAAAGGAAAAGGTGGATGATGAAAGGAAAGGGGAAAAAAGAAAGAAGGAAGGTGGGAAGGAAAGAAAAAACAGAGGAAGGGTAAGTAAGGAAAGAGTGAGAAAGGGAGGGAGAGAGAGAGAGAGAGAGAGAGAGAGAGAGAGAGAGAGAATATGCCAGCCCAGCTGCCTTGCCTTCTGGCACACATACGAGTTCTCCGAGCCTGCTTCTTCAGCTCTTTTGGCAGATACAGCAAGTCCCGATCCTCCTTGTGTGGTTCAGAGGCTCCCCTAGGGTGTTCCGTCAGACAGCTCACATCATCTGTGGTCTCTGCATCGTGTCCTGGTGTGGCGAGGAGTACCAGTGCGAATAGCCAGGCATGTAGCTGTTGGGGGGCATACTGACGCCCTTGGCAGAGGCAGAAGCGTCCCACAATGGAGGCAAAGCTGGCGAGCGCGGTGACAGGGCTGCCGAGCCTGGGAGGGGGTCGCTCTCATGAGGGTTACTGCCCTGCTTCAGCAATTTCTTAAACTTAGAGCGTTTGTTCTGAAACCATATCTTCACCTGGAAGAAGTGCAGCAATCATTAGGCCAGATAAACATCAAACCCAGTGCCTCTAACATAACTCCGGGCTTAAGAAGCAATATTAAAGGGGGGAGGGGGACAAAAACAAACAATGCCAAGAAGTCAAGTCTCCACCTCCCTCCACCTCCTTCTAGTTTCTTCCATCCTTCTTTCCCCAACCTACTAGATATCGTGTCTGGATACCTAAATCCTTGTGATTCTCGAGCTGGATACTAGCCTGGGTTTAAAACAACAGCATAAATATGAACAAATTAAGAAAGAAACTGAATGAGACAATTGGATCCAAAGTTTGCTGAAGTATTTTAAATGAAAGCCATACTACTGAATGCCCCTCCTCTGCTAGTCTGTTTATATATTTACAAGCCCCCAAACTGGCACCTCTATGCATGTAGAGTGAACAAATGACTATGAAGAAATTAAGGCCTGTATGTTTATAATCAAATACCTTGAATTTATCTATGCCTATACTGTGTACACCACAGATTAGGCATGGGGCATCTTTCTCCCAATATAAATATGTTCCCACAATCTTGTGGGGATTAAGCATTGCACCTCCCTCCTATTTTGTAGGTTGCTTGGTCAAACTGTGGTCAACAGTCATCAATGATTGTTAGTGTAGTTCCTAAAAGTAGAAGTTTTCTGAAAATTAAATGTGAATCAGGGAGCATATTTAGGCCAGTATTCTAAATCTAGTTTATTTGATGAAGGAAATTCTATGGTGTAACTTCCTTTACCTTTAAAATTTCTGGAATCTGCTTTTCTAAGAATAATACAAGTCATTGAGTAGCTGGAATCCCTTCATATCAAACCCCAAATATTGGCAAAATGGCTAGCAAAAGCAGGCTAAGCTGTGAAAAGCTTAAGGAACATCTACCTTTAGGCATCACTGGATCAGTCCCCAGCAATCGTCTCATAAAACCTGAAGACCCCTTGCTAAATAAAGATCACCCACCTCAAATGAGGCCTGTGATCTCACTAGCTGAATTAATCATCCACAAGAACAAAAACTGCAGGTGACTGCATCCTGGCTTTATGGCCGGGTTTCTAATATACCTACTTAGGCCCCTTCCTGGGAAATGTGAAATGCCTCATACATCTTCTAAATTAGTAGGACTTGAGAGAACTTCAGCAACAGTTCTTATCTGTGGCTTTACCTGCTATAATTTGGAGAGTATTTCTTTTTGATCTTCAACTCTGCCACTGCTCTCCTCCCCCAAGTTCTGTGCTCCAGGGAGGTACCTCAGCCTGCCTTAACCACTGAACTTAAAGCAATTTTTGAGAAAAACCCACCTAGGATGAATGCTGTGCACACTAGTGCCTTCGCTAAACCCCATGGAAGACAATGCCTACCTGACTTTTACTTCTCATTTCACGTCATTATTTTTCTTTCTATGTCTATGAATTGAAATTCTTATTACCTCCTAGGGGCCACAAAAAGATCCTTAAGAAAGTTGGGCCTTATTTTGCTTCCTGGCCTATACATCTTTTATTTTTCCCTGCATCATTGTTCTCTTTCATGTTGTTCTGCTCTGAAATAAGATTTGATTGAATTATAAGTTTGTTCACCAAATGATGCTAGGCTTGGGTGGGGTTTCTGAGGGTTAGTTGGATATGCAAATCCATTTCAGCATTCAATACCAGATCATTTATTCCAAAACTTGTGGTCCCAGCAAAGTGTGCAACTGGAGCAAAGGCGTTTGTCATTAAGCTCCTTCCATCCTCAGTTGACTAGGCCAAGAATTCCTCCTGATGTGCTCCCTGCCCCGTTTGCAAGTGAGGCCAGCATTTCAGGTATACTGGTGCTTCTTGGGAATTACCTGTGTTTGTGTCAGTCCTAAGGAAGCTGCCAGTTCGGCTCTCTCGGGAAGGGCCAGGTATTGAGTCTGCTGAAAGCGATGATTTAAAGCCTGGAGCTGCAGGCTGGAGTAAATGGTCCGAGGCTTCCGAATCTTTTTCCCTTTTCCGTTGAACCTGATTTCACCATTTTCAATCACTGTAGTTTTTTGTTGATCTGTAAGCAAATGACAGAGGAGCGGTCACCCGTGAGGCCACTGCTGCTGTCTCCCCTCGCGTGGCCGGGCCTGCGTCAGGCTTTCCCTTAGACTAAGAACGGTTTCCTCGAAGCATCCCCACGCTGCCCTGACCTCCCTGGGTCCATGGTGCTCGCGCGTCCCCAAAAACAGCGTAACATTCTCCCTGACTCGGTGTCTGTCCCTAACAATCACAGTGACTGGACCAAAGAAGCCCTGGGTGAAAGAGCGCTCTTGTGCCGCGCGGAGGCGGCGCCCGCGGCTCCCCGGGTGCCTGGCGCGATGAAGCATCGGCTGCCTGGCCCGAGCGGGGCTCCTAGGCCTGGCTTTACAGTGCCTGAAGCTGTATTTCAGCCACCGGGTGTTTACGCGGCCAGTTGACTTGATGTCACCACTTCTCAGCTCGGTGCATCAAGGTCCCTCGGGGTGTTCAAAATGATTCTACTGGGGGTGGGGGGAGGGAACGACCAAAAACCTAAACAAAACACAACCGGGTGACTCTAACTAGCTCCGGAGTAGGCTGCGCCTCTTAGGACAACTTTGTCTTCTCGGGTGCGAAAACCATCAGCCCCAGGCCCTCTGCTTCGCCTCCTCCCCAGACAAAGAAGCAGCCGAAATTGTATCGAAAACCCAGAGGGAAGGGGCCTGGCCAGGGATGGGGGTGGAGGAGTTGGGGACGCCTCACAGTGCACGGGAAAGAGCCCAATTGTCACTAGTTTAACCAGAGCCACAGTGCACTCCACTTTCCTTCCAAGTCACCGAAGCGCACCGGGCGCCCCACGCAAAGTAGGCCACTACCTGCCTAGTGTGGGTTGGGAAGCAAAACATACTCCCCAATTCTGGCCCAGAAATGTCCCCAGCCCTGACAAACACGAGTTATAGCCGGGAGGGCAGAGGCAAGGCATAGGGCGCACAGACCCAGCGGGCTAGAGAGCGCAGGGCGGACTAAGTCGTGCAGCGAAGCCTGCGCGGAGCTGGGGGCGCAGCCGATCGGGGCGCGGGAGGCGGGCAGCACCGCAAGGAAGCCGGGGGTCCACGGCGGCGGGAAAGGGCAGGACCAGGAGAGGCCGGCAGGCAGGCGCCAGGCGAGCGGGCGCGCACGGGGCCCGGCTGGGGGCGCGCCGGGCCGCCTGGGGGAGGGGGGCGGCTGAGGCCCGGGCGTCGAGGAAGTGAGCGGGGCGGGTGGGGTGGGGGGCAGCGGGGAGGCGGGAGAAGCGAGCTGCCCAAAGCGGCCTCTCACCTGTGTCGTCCCCTCGCGTCTGGGCGGCCGCGCTGCTGTTGTGGTAGGACTGGAGGTAAGGGCTGTGCTGCGAGTGGCTCATGTAGGGGTAGGCGGCGAGCGAGCGGTGGTTGTAGGAGTTGCCTCCGCCCGACGCGTAGGGCGAGCCGTGATGGTGGTGCTGGTGGTGGTGGTGGTGCGAGCCGGCCGCCGCCGCCGCCGCCGCCGAGTGCAGGCAGTGCAGAGGGTAGTGCGCGCCTGCCATGGCCGGGGAGCTCTGCTGCGAGTGCGGCTGCGGCGGCGGCGGCGGCGGCGGCGGCGGCTGTTGCTGCTGCTGCTGCTGCTGCTGCTGCTGTTGCTGCTGCTGCTGCTGCTGCCCGAACTCCATGAAGGCGGATTTGGACGAGTCCTGGCCTTCCAAGCCGTCAGCCATCGTAGTCATGGTCATCATCAAAACTTTGGGGGCTGGAGAAAGCCTTCTCCCGGGTTTCCTCCACCCTCCCCCACTTGGCTCGCGCCGTTCTCCCCTCTGCAGCCACCTTAGCTCTTGGGATCCTTGCAAAAAATGTTAAAAAAAAATTTAAAGGAGGGGGTGGAGGTAGTTCTCCCTCTCCCTCGCTCCTCTCTAATATATATATATATTTAATATAAAGAGATATAGTGAGCAGGGCCTTGTTAACCCAAAGGGAGGAGGAAGGGGGAGGGATGGGAGAGGAGAGGGGGGAGGGGGGAATCTGCGCTCCCTCCCCCCTTGCTTTCCCCCCTTGGATTTTTTGGGGGCTGGTGCAGTTTAAGGCAGAGATTTTAAGGTGGATTCTGCGAAAGTTGCGCGTCTGCTTTCAGACTTGATGCAGACGCCACGAGTCGAATGGTTTGTCTCCAAAGGGCAGCGCCTCCCCATTGGTCAGTCGCCCCCTGACGTCACAGGCGCACGGCTTCTACTGGCGTGTGCGCTGCTCGCGGAGTTCTTCGCCTACCTTAGGCAACTCCAATCCCAAACCGGAGCTGCAGCCGGGTGCCGCGCTGCGCGGCGCCCGGGTCTGCCCCGGAGGGAGGCGCTTCCCTCCGAAGCTCGTGCCCTAAATCCGGGAGCCCTAGTTTCCAGTATCGCAGCCTTGGAACAGACTGGCTGGATGCTGCTCCCTCTCACTCCCCTTGCACCTTTGTGGACTGCAGGCGCTCAGAAACAGTGCCCTTGCGTTTAAAGCCAGCCCCCACTTCCTTGACCTTCCCCCCTCTTCCAGCACCCCAGCTCCATTCTACCCCCACGGGAGCGTCCGTCACCGTTCTAGACGTACTGTATTGAAACCACCCAGGGAAGAACCCCTACACCTGGGCTCCACCCCATAGGGGGTGGTAAAGAAAAAGAAAAATCGCACCCTGTTCTGGCGAGGTTCCTGCCATTTCAGACCATATTTCCTATATATTGAACCCTCCAATAAAAGGAGGGGAGATTTTTTTTTCCAGAACGTAGCAGGCTGTTCTGAAAGCAAATGGTTGGAGGATTGACAGTAATGCATTTTTTCCTATTGAAAACAGAAGCTACTGTAATGCTTTCAAATATATGCAAATGATACATGCGGTTAGTGGTTTGGCAAATCTTGATTACAATATAAACTACCCAAGTAAAAGTGCCTTCGTCCTAAATTTGTCTCTCGATTACAATTCCAATTGATTTTATTTTATTGTCAACATTGTTAATGATAAAAATAGAGTCGTTTTACAGTTATTTTTACTTTCTGGAAGGAGGCAATTAGAGTTCTAATCAGGAATACACAAAAATCTCCCATGATTAACTGCAGTACTTTGTTCAAATTGCTGCTATAAAATTCAGAACAATTTGCCTGTAATGATTATGGACTGGGTTTATTTTGGGAGGTGGAATAAAAGTGGATATAGCATAAATTATCCTCTAATTATACACCAGTGTCGCCTCAATTATCCTCTTATCAAAATGGTTGTCTAACTGCCGCATTTAGTTTCAATTCTCTCCTTTTTTTCTATAAAAAGAACTTCATACCTTGTTATTATTAATCCATTTATTATTTGCAAGGGGATTTATATCCGCACATCCAGGTGGTAGAACCACTTCTCTTTCAAAGATGGACTGGGGAAAGACATTAAGTTTGGAGCAGCCCAGGGCTGCGGATCCAGCCTTTCTCCCTCCGGTCTCCAGACCTAGTTAGGTCCAGGCAGCCCAGCAGGGACAGAGGAGCTCAAGGCGCGCTGCTCAGTCCCGCCACCAGGTAGGAGAGCCCGACCCAGAGCCAGGCCCCAAGGAGGGCAAGCCAGGCCGCATCAGGGTTGGGGTGCGGGGACTGCGGGTAGGTGCCGGGAGACCGCGCTGTAGAGGATCGAGACTGGGTGGGCGAAACCCGCAAACCCCGCGGGCTCCCTGTCTGCTTTGGGTTTGCGCGGAGACCTCAGCCGCGAGCCTTTGGCCACAAGGAGAAATGTGCAATCTAACAACCCTGTGTCGTCGTGTCGGAGGAGGTTGCGGGGACTAATCTAACTACCGTTGGGAAAACTACTGACAGTTTCTTTGCATTCTACTTCGCCTGTATCCCGTAAGTTACGGGACACAAGGACCTCGAGAAACGGAGAATTTAGTGGTGCTGCTTGCCACTGTAATTCCAGAAAAGAGTGGCTGCAAACAGAGGTGCTAGGACTGTTTACTCGAAGGTCACCGGCAGCGGCTTATGCTAATTAATTTTCCCAGCTCCCAGCCCTGGGTCTCCAGGCTTCGTCAGGCGAGTTTGCCTTTTTCTTTCTTTCTCTTTTTTCTTTCTTAGTTTCTTTCCTTCCTTTAATTTATCAGAAGACCTGAAGCTCGCTGCCCGCAGGTTTTCTCTAGAGTTCTCAGGTCACCGACATTTGCTCTCCTCTCCCCCTCTTTTTCCCAGCCCACCGCGTTTAACTTCTTGAGTCTCGGGAGCCGGTTCAGTAACTCTGAATTCATTTTTAAGTGGCGTCCCATGTTCTCTTCCTTTTAACAAGAGGTGCACTCTTTAACACGCGAACTAGTAACCCGATCCATGCGTTTACAAATCGGCAGTGAATTAAAACAACAAAATCATCAAGGAAAATGAAAGGTGGGCTGGTTAAGAGGGAGGTGGGTGGGGGGACACAAAGGAAAGTCAGGGAAAGAGAAGGGTTGCCCCCACCCCTAACACACATACACTCCCGGTGCGCTGTAGGTGCACCGGGGCTGGGCGCCGAGCCTGTTTGTAATGCCTCAAAGCCAGCAGGTAGACCTGGCAGTTTTATTGCTTTATAACCTTTAGCTTGCTGTTACACAGTGAAGGCGTTTCTGCCCCCGTGTTTGTCTGAGTCTCTCCCCTAGTGCTCGCAGGTGCACTGCTTTTCTCGCCGGCTTCCCGAAACTCCGAAGCATCTCAGTCGGGATGGAGTGTGGTAAATTCGCCTGAGATCCTCGCACTTGCACTTCAGCACCAGACCTAAGGCGCAGCAGTGTCTATTTGCAAAGGGATCTCTTTTTTTTGTTTGTTTGTTTAATGTGCGAGGAAGCCAGGCCGGCTGGAATTGTCTTTTAGGATTGTAATTTCAGGGCTCTATTCTCTCCTCCTTTAGGAAGCGGGAAAATCCCTTTCCTCTGGTCCTGGGGTGCAAGTGTGCAGCTGCACCTAAGAGGAAAAGGTTCTGCTGGGACCTTTTGGGTGACCCAGCCTGGGCTCTGAGAGTCAGCTAGGGGAGGAATATAGCGAGCAAGAGGTCTGTCCAGATTAGATAGCGGTCTCTGTGTGTATTTGCCGGATGGAATTCAACTTGCGGCGTGACCAAGCGACTTTCCCGACAGTTCGGGGAATGGAGGGCTAGAGAACTAGTGTGTGTGGCCCTTTGCGCTGCTAGTGGCTGACACACGTGGCCTCTGCTACCAGCCACCGCGCAAAGAATTGGGCTCAAAGAGGCTTTCTGGGGCGGAAGCCGCTTCAGGTCCTTTCTCTCCAAGGGCCTTCGCCCGGTGTCATGGGAAGCAGTAAGGAGGCGAAGCCACACATCTCTAGTTTGCCCTAATCTAGCCTTCTGCGGGAGGCAAAAACTCCGGCTTTTCAGAGCCTTGCAAAAAGGCGCACACCTCAGGGGCCCCTGGCTCGGGAGGCCAGTCGGCGCCGGGTTCTCAGCCAGTGGGGTTCAGGCTCCTACTGCTTTGTCTCGCCCGCTGGGGAACCCCGGCCAACCCTTCGGGAGGGAGGGGGAGGAGGGCTGGCCAGGCAGAGGACGCCTTTATCATTCAAAATAGAAGTAAACTCGGAAATCTGGAGGAGTGGAGGCCTAAGGACTCTTTTAGGGCTTGTGTTAAGTTTACTCATTAAGGATTTGAGGCCTAAGCTGCATTTTACTTTTTAAAGTGTTGAGGTGTTGGGGTTTGTATTGCAGATGTCAGCATTACTTAGAGAGAAATACTTGCATATTGCCCACACAAGAATGCTTAGGCTGGCCTGCCAGAGGCCGTCATTGGAGGAATGGACTCTTTGGGTCTGCTCCAGTTCTGGAAGGCTGTTTGCGCACATGCAGGCCTGGGAATGCCTGGATGCTGAGGTGGGTTTGCAGCCTCGGAGGGGCTGTGGAAGTATAGTCAAGCCGGCCAGGACCTGGCTGGGTTTGGTTGCTAAGTTGGGCTCAGTTATCACGTTAATTCTAAAGAAATTAGACCTGGATAAATAGCCTTTGAATCCAAAGAAAATAACTCGGTATTGATTTACATAGCCATGTTAAGAAACCCCTTCTCAATAGGAGACATTGGTGGAAAAAAAAATTCCTGCTCGCCTTTTCCTCATTCAGCGTAAAATTCTGTTGTGTATGTATGTAAGGAAAAGGTGCCTGGTATTCTGGAAACCCAGACACCCTTCTTCCCTCCCCCAACACACACACACACCACACACACACACACACACACACACACACACACCTGGGAGAGGGCCAGGCAATGAGGGAGCCACCTCCTTCCCTTCTTAGCCCAAGCTAATGATATTTTCATCAAGAGCCAAAAGAATCAGCCTAGGCAAGAAAACTCAGGGATTTAAGTGATGTTTTCTCTAGCAATAAAACTGTAATGTCTGTGTTAACATTTTCTTCTTCCAGGATCTCCCAGATCCACCTAAAAAGTGAGCTTTGTTTATTCCACACACAAAAGGAAGTTCACTGAAGTTTGGGGACATTTCCTTCATCTCTCCAGTCCTGTGTTCCAAGAACAGGCAGCTAGGAAACTCCAACCTGGCAGTGACCTACCAGGGAGCGTCACAGTTTTCCCAACATGTCTAAGTTGGAGAATATCAACAAAGCATGTTCCAACCTAGAGGCTCCTGGTCCAGACATTTTAAAACTTGGAGTCTAATAGAGTTAGTGAACCTGAAGCTAAGTCCTCAAGCTCAACACCATCTACTTCCTTCCTTTCTCCATTCTAGGTGTGTGGGCACCAAAAGTTTTCTAACTGGAGAAAGCTGTAAGACAATAGAGTTGTGAGCAGCAC